TTATTCTTTTTTATTATGGCATCGAATTAGCAGAAAAAATAGACATTATATATATATATATATATAGTTCTAATCTGTATTCTTGAAGAAAATACAAGGACTGTGTTTGGGGTCAGCTTCTCTAATGATTTATGCATTGGTTTAGGCCTACTTTTTTGTCACTTTAATTTTAAGTATGAAAGTTTCAACTTTATTCTTTGTAATTCTAGGTCTGAGTTTAAATGCGAAAAAACCCAACCTATTTGGTACGTTTAAAACACTACAACTACCGAGACGTCGTCATCCGATATTAATACCAGATATCCACCATCAGCCTGGCATTGACGACTTCTTTAATGGAATAGTGCAAGTATGGAATATTTGAATCATTTCGTGAAAAGGAAAGGAGCTGCTTTCAATTTAATCAAATTAAGTATAGGTTCTTTATAATCAAATTAAGTACAGGTTCTTTATAATCAAATTAAGTACAGGTTATTTATAATGAAATTAATTACAGGTTATTTCTAAAATACAGAGACACTTTTATCGGATTTAGTGTAAATAATTTACGTAATAAATAAAACTATAGGCGCTGTCATTAAAGTGAGTATAATTATCAAAGAAATTAATAAAACTATAGAGTTACTTTCGGGAAATTGATCGTAATTGGTTTCAGGAATGTATTTTTAGCTTTCAACAGAGCAAATACTGTCATTTGTAAGTATCTGTATTCGTGTAAGGATAAGTTCAAATACAAGTGGTTTAGCACAGTATTAAATTGTGATTTTACATCAGCATTGAAAATCAAAGTTATCCCAATACCTTTAAACTTAGCTTCAGAAAAGTGGAATTTTGTTTAAGAATAAAATATGTGTTTCTTTATTATTTACGGCCATTGGCACATGAAGTAATAATAAAGCGTTTGGAGATGTTAAATCTAAGTCTAAACGTTTAATAATTCAACAGATAGGATTTCAAAGAACGATAAAACTCTGAACATTGTATAAAGACTAGTATACTGATCCTATAAGCCTACTTTTATCGTTATATGTAGAAATATATAATGCCCTGAGAAACAGTTTCGACATAAAGATTTAACGCACACCCATGGTAGGCCATATTTTTCTTAACTGCGATACACATATAGATATTTATAACACATGACGTCATGTGCACGTCTTAAATTAAATAAGCTTTTCTAATGTTACGACTAACTAAAATTAACTTCAAGTTACATCCCTGTGTTCGACAAAGATCACATATACCATATCTTAATATTTATTAAATTCAATACTCTTTCTTACTTAAAAACTGAAAATCATTTAAAAGGTTAATTAGTCTAACTGAGTTTAAGACGTAAAATTTAAATAATTGCTATTTTTTGTAAATATAAGATTTAATACTATCAGGCTTTCGACACTGTTCCTACAATAAGTTTATTTTCTTCTCTCCCGAAGGGTATCCTTGCAAGTTGCCAGAAATGGGCATTCAATACTTTTACGCTAGACATGGCCACAGGGGGGCACTCGCTGTCCATATTGTTACTTCACTTATTCCACCAATATGGACTTATCAAGGAGTTTCACTTGGATGTTTTGAAAGTGTGTAAATGTTTCAGTAAGTACAAATTCCGTCTGTCTATCTATCTATCTGTCTGAATACTTTACTATAATTTCCTATCGATGACATATTTCTTTAACAGAAATAGGATTTTTCGCCTAAAAAAGAAAAAATAATAATTATACGAGGTAGAAATAATGATTATATATTGTGTTTACATACATAAATAATTACTATTACGACAGTGTACTTTATATGCAAATACAGTTTCTACAGAATACTTCTAAGATGGTGATGAGAAATATTCGAAGATCTTAAACTGACATGAAATAATATTTGTCTGTAGACCTTATCGAGCTGGGTTACCATGGTGATAATCCCTACCACAACTCGGTACACGCAGCAGACGTAGCACAAGCTATGCATTGCTTTCTTCAAGAAAACACAGTAAGTATTGTGTTAACAGAAAATAAGTAAATAGTCCCGTGAGAGTGGGAAACAGTATGCAATACAATCATTGCAAACATAGTGTTCTAACTGTAGTTATTAAACAACTCACCGAGTGTATAACACAAACAATTCATTGTTTTTCTACAAAAGTAAACTGTAAGTATTAGGTTAGCAAAAAGTATTACAATTAGTCCGATGAGTATGCAATCAATACAAGGTGTGGATTGTTTCGTTCAAATAAACACCACTAATAGTCGTTTATTAAGGTGTTGAATAGCCCGATGAATGCGTAACGCAAGCTATGTAAAATGTATTTCAAGAAAAGTTTGTTTGTTTGTTATGGATTTTGCGCAAAGCTACACAAGGGCTATCTGCGCTAGCCGTCCCTAATTACCAGTGTAAGACTAGAGGGAAGCAGCTAGTCATCACCA